GTGTGTGTGTGTGTGTGTGTGTGTGTGTGTGTGTGTGTGTGTGTGTGTGTGTGTGTGTGTGTGTGTGTGTGTGTGTGTGTGTGTGTGTGTCCGTCCGTCCATCCGTGTGTGTGTGTGTGTGTGTGTCCGTGTCCGTGTCCGTGTCCGTGTCCGTCCATCCCTCCCCTTGTAGGCCTGGGTGTCCTGCGGAGGGTCCCTGGGGGATCCCCGGTATCTCGGGGGATAAATCCCCCTTGGAAAACACACGCAGGTGGGGGCAGCTGGTTGTGCTGCATGTCTGGGGTTTCTGTGAGGAGTCCGTGAGCCCAGAGATGAGCCCTGGGGGCGAGGACTTGCAATGTAGGAGCCACATCAGTAGTGGGAAGTGCTGCAGTATGCCCAAGCCTGTGATTACCTAATAAACGGTGCCTTTTCCTGGCCCAGAATGGCCTGCAGCAGCAGGGTAGCTGGACATCTGGGTGCGCTGCAATTGAGTTAGACAAGGAGAAATTGCACACTTGCAAAGTACTTTTCTTACAGCAAGAAAGTAATTTCAGGTGTGATCAGAAACTCAGTCGGTTTAGCTTCCTGTAATCAGCGATGTGATTAATTATATTTGGGAAATGGGTATATATGCGAAACATCTGTGAATGGAAATGTGTAAAAAATGCATTAAGATGCGGTCATGGTTCGGGTTGTGTATGAACCTGCATCCACCTCTTGTCGGCAGTCAGCCTGATTTTGTGATTGATCGTGCTCGCAGAGGGCTTCCTTGGCTTGTATCTGCTGTGTGTCTCTGTGTTTGTTTCAACGGTGTTGCAACAGGAGATGGCAGAGTTCCCAACCGAGAGCGTGGCATGCCAGGGCGAGGAAAAGATATGCTTTATATTCTCCTTACCCTAGTGTTTTCCTTCAGAAGTATGATTATTGCCACCCCTGTGCTCATTCCAGCTGAACATTTCATGTTTATTTCTTTGTTTCATAGGCACAGAAATTCTTGGTCATTCTGGCAGTTTGTCTCTCTTTCCAGAATATGGTTTTCTCTTTGCCGGTAATACCTGTTATGGACTTGTAGTTCTAGTTCAGTATTATCCGTGTTTTATGCTTGGCTGGCTGCAAGTTTAGCTCCAAGTGTGGCTTTCCAGGAGATACGTAATCGCTGTCTTTCATCAGCCTAAACACTTGCTTTAAACTACTGAATTTCTTTTGGTTTTCCATAGCTTTTTTTTTTTTTTTTGTAGTGTCATATGGGATACAAATCCTTTATCCTTTTCACCCCAGATTTGGCTTAATACCTTAATTACAAAGTAATTTAGTTGTCTGTTTTAGTAAATGTGTCTGTAATTGTCTCATGTTAGCAGACTGGTATTGCCTAAGCTACTACAGTTTGTTTGGGGATGAAAATTACATGCAAAATAGAAATATCAGCATCTCCACTCTATAATCTTGCTTTAATTTTCTCGCTCACCCAGTTGATATCGGTAATTAATGCTCCAGAAACTTAAACTGCATTTGTTGGTATTGGTTCCTCCAAGGTCTTCTCAGCTAATCACTGTATTTTTAATGCCGTTAGTCCTAGTTCCCTTTCGAGTCCCCAGCCATTTGGTGTGCGATACTCTGTCTTTTCTGCAACCGGCAAGGCAATAGCAGAGCTAATTTGTTTTGATTCATATCGTGAGGATGCCACAGGAGTTGAACAACGTCAGTTGGGCAGTTGCTGTGTGTTTGTGTCTTTTACTCTGGAGAAGGAAAATAGACGAATGAAGATGAGATGAGAGGGAGGTTCTGAGAGACGAGGAAGGGGACTGTCCAGAACAAGAGCAAAGTCGAGGTAGCAAAGATCAGAGACGTAGGCTGGCGGGGAATAACGTGGCTGAAGGAGTAAATGTTGTAGAGAGAAATGACTCGAGCTATGCAGGCAGGAGGACAGCATGCTCTGCGCGAGGGCTGCTGCTTGTGTCTTTCCAGCTCAGCTAGTTGAGAGAGTTGCAAGTGTCCTTGCAACTTGTGGTCAGAGAGCAGAAAGGACATTGAGAAGCAAGGGGTGAGAAGCCATGAGGAATTGCTGCACGTGCAGGGTGTCTTGCTACAGCTTTTCTGACTGTTGGTGGTGATATTTTGTTCCATGGACCCAAGGGTGCTGAGGGAAGTGGCCGATGTCATTGCAGGGCCACTTTGAAAGGTCACAGTAATCGGGAGAGGATTCTGGTGACTGAAAAAGGGCGAACATCACACATGCGTTCGAGAAGGGTGAGAAGAAGGGTTGGGCAAGTCTAAAACACTCTGTTTAGCCTGGGTCTCTGGGAGGTGATGGCACGCCTTCTCCTGGAAACTTTGTTTTGAGCATGTGAAGGAGAAGAAGGTGATTGGGAACAGCCAGCATGGATCTGACAAGGGCAATCATGCCTAGCCAACCTGATTGCCTTCTGTGATGAGGCTGGCTCAGAGAGCAAGGGGAGAGCAGTGCGTGTTGTTTACCTTGACTTTAGCAAGGCCTTTGACATGGTCTCCCATAGTATCATCTTACCAAACTGGTGAGGCATGGATCGGGTAAACGGACTACAAATTGGATGGAAAATTGCCTGGGTTGTTGGGCTCAGATGATGGCGATCAGTGGGCTAGCACACAGAGTGTAAAAGAGGAGGCTGAGAAAACTGTGTTTGTTATCACACAATAATTTTCGGAAAATAAATACTTTGCTCCTTAGGGAAATAAATACTGTGCTCCTTAAGAAATATATTTATTTTGGTGGGAAGAGGAAACCAGACCGGTTGTAGAAAGCAAGTTAAAAACAAACATGGAAGTTCTAGGAGGTTATACACATTCTGAGGTCTTTTAAAAACCTTGTAATTGAAACCAGTCTTTTATTCACTGGTTTAAACGCTCATTAATGCCAGTCCCCCCTTCAAGTCCAGGCAAAATCAACATATCTCCAAGTTCTTGATTATTTCTTTGAGGCACATTTGCCACTGGAACTTTATTCCCTGCATGCTGGAGCTGTTTCCTCTTATCTCATAGTGGTCTTCTGGTAAGTTAGGTTTCCATCTGCGTTTTTCTTTTTCTGCGTCTTGAGCAAAGTAACTTAGTGGAACATGTAAGCTTTGATACGCAACAGGTTTTTTTCCTCTAGCCAGAAATTTATGGCTAGAAAAAACCACCGTGCAACTTTGACCCAGTATACTTGAAACATCGTAATTACAGATGATCTGGTTTCACAGCTCACAGACAAAGAAAATGCGTTTGTTTTACTTTATTAGATTTCTTACAATATGTTCATAGAAAAACAAATGTGCATATACACGCTCTGTCAATACTGCCACCTGCAATTATATTAAGTTTTATAAATTTTTTCCACTAGGTCACTGTATTGTTAAACAGACATTGAATGCAGGATCAATGCTAAAGATGGGAGGGCTAAATTTCAACGTAAGCAATCTCATCTTTCTCTTAATAAGTTTATAAGGGGCATTTTTGAGGAAGTCTTAATTAATCATGGGCCTAAAACCTCTCTTAATGTGGATGTATTTTTCTAACAAGAAAATAAGGAAGAGAAGGTATTTGGGCATAAGCCGTAGCTCGCACTGCTGTTTCACTCTTCCCTGACTGCTGCAAAGCCCCTCAGTCAGTCACTGTAATCCAGAGCTGAAACTGGGAGCGCGTTTTGGGGATATATCTTGTTACTTTGTGATGAACTTGGAGGCCCTGGGAGAATCTCTTGGTGTTGACAGCCCCTGACAGTAAATGTCACATGAATTCGGAGGGAGCTCGGAGCCTTCTGGTGACTGCTATGAGAAGAGACACGGTGACAGAAAACCTGATTGATGAGCCATGCCACAAGTAGAGGGAGCGCTGTGTGGTGATTGCCTATAATTGAATGGTCCACGGAAGTTATTTCTGGGTTTCCTATGAACGGTGACACACACTCCAGAAGTGTTTTCGCAGGGGAGGCCTGCAGATTTTAATCCTGGTAGTCAGCAACTCCCTGTTAACGCAGCGCTAACAGAGTTTAAAACTTAACAGGCTGTTTTAGCTTCATGCCTAGCATAATAATTAAACAAACAACAATTGGAGATGGTCAGTCATGCAATTACCTTTAGAAAGGTTCCTTTGTCAGCTTTCGCCTCCTCTTTTTAGTGCTTTCTCCACGTGGCTTGGCTCTGTGATCTGACAATGCGGAGACGTTGATTATCAAGGTTCTTCCCGATTCTGACGACGCGCTCCTCTGACATGGGCTTGTTGCAGCCATGTTAAGCACAGCGGTGATGCTCCTGGCATTAAACGGGAATGTGAGACGTTGTAGCCCACTCACCCGGCAAAGCATCTGCTCGCGCTGACCAATTAAATTGGCTTCTCTCTCATTAAAACCCTTGTGCAGACTCTGGTATGTCACAGATCTTTAAAATCTCCATTATGAATTCCACTTTCTTCTGGGTATTTTTAGCTTTTACTTGAAGAAATGATTATTGTCTCTTGCACTTAAACATATCAATTTCAGCTCCACAGACATCTCCTCTGGGCCATATTCAAAGACCTGAGCTGACTTCAACTGCTGAATCCGTAGGGAGGATTTCAACACAGCTCTAAGCGCTTGGACATTGGGGCCATGCGAGGAGGAAGAGGGAGAGACACTCAAGCCCTCCCCCCTTCCCTTTCGTAAGTCAGGAGCACATCCCTTACAGATTTACTTGGTTGTGCCAATTTAATGTGATTTCTTCTGAGGGCCAGGAACCACTCAAGGAAGGCTGACAGGTTTTATCAACAGAATGGAAACTGAAGTGATAAGGTGAGAGTTACTGACCTGATAACTAACAAACAGAAAACTTCAGTGTCCCTCAAGCTAAATATTGCACTCAGCAGGTAAGTAAAAGATGGCAACAGCTGTGGTCTTGTCACTGAGTGAGAGTGTGTTTTAGTGTAGAGAAGCAGGAGGTGAACTGTGAAAACAAACACATTCAGTTTGCTACAGACTATTTCCCTCTATTACTTTTAATGAGAGCTAAACTCCGAAATGCACAATGGGACAATAATATTTTAGATAGAAGGAACTCTTCGTACAGCTCCTAAATTCTAGACACCCGGTTGCAATTAAAATGATTGCTTGCATATTATTAATAGCTCGCCAGCAGTTTAAGGCTGTTACCAGGTATGGGACCAATTGGTACTAGCCACTGCACAACTGAATGAAAAGTAGTGCTGTCCTTGAAGGAGCCGAGTTAACAACCCGAACCCACAATGCTCAAAGGAGTTTGAAAAATGAGAGAAATATAAGAAGGTAAGAGGAGGTGTGTTAAAATGCATCACTGTAGAGGCTGACAAGCAACATGGCTGGATTGCCATAGTCAGACGTTAGTAAATGCTGCCTAAGTGGTTTTCTATTTGTTTCAATTCTAAAATTGCAGCGTGGGGAGGGCAGATAGGAAAGGAAGTGGAGACTTCTAATGAATTAGGATTTAGAAGTAAAGGAAACAAAAAGTACTGCAAGTGCAGCAGTCTTTTGTTCCTCCTTTTTCCCCTTATATTTTTTCCTAAAAACATGCTGGGATTGCGTTTAAAACCTAGCTGTTGCAATTCTCACACATCCCTTGAAATTCTTGTCTGACAGAATATGAAGGCTTCAGCAGCTGAACAAAAAGGCACGCGACAGAGCTCTTGTACGATGTCCGTCTCCCCTTTGTGGCACCTGGCCTGCTCAGTACAATTGGGAAAGACAAATGGCAAGTGATCGCTTCCTGTTCAACTTCTGCATGCTAACTTTGTTTTTCACATGGGAGCAGTTTTGTACTTACCATGTTTGTCATTCTGCCACGGATCTTTTCTTTTTCCTGTTACAGTTTCTTTTTTTTTTCTTTTTTTTCAGGTGAGGGTACCAGAGCTGTGCTTGGTATTCGAGAAGCAGAGGCGCCATGAATTCATACAGTGGCAAAGTCATACTTTCCTCTCCAAAGGATTCTGAACCTTTGATTTTCTTTTTTTGACTGCTATTGAGCAATGAGGTGATATATTCATAGAACTAGCTATTATAACGTCAAGATGCATTTCCTAAATTGTGCAGACTAGTTCAGAGCCCATCACTCTCTGTGTAAAGTTAGTGTTGCTTTTCGTGGATAGCCAGATTATAGTTGTCAGGGCTGAAATTTATCTTCCATTTTACCACGACGCTGCTCAGTGTCATGAGATTTTTAAGTTTTTGTAGTAAATATTATGCTAATTAATTTAGTTTTTATCAGAAATCTTCTTCGCTGTTCCACCTACTTTCCAGATCATTTCCAAACACATTGAACACCATGGACCTTAATCCCTATGGGACTCCACTGATGATCATCTTCCACTGTGAAAACTCATCCTTTAGTCTAATCTTCTTTTTCCAATGTTAAACTATTATTTAACGCTGTGACGTCCTTACCTGTAGTCCCTGGCTGTTTAGTTTGTTTAAGAGCCTTTGATGAGACTTTCAATGTTTGGGGTTTCTGGAAGCTTGGGGTGAGTTGGAAACACAGGGAAAATTTCTCAGCTGGATCTCTGTTATTTACACACTTTTGACTTCTTCAAAGAATTCCAGCAGATTTAGGAGGCTCAGATTCCTTTTACAAAAGTCATGTTTACTTTTCCTTAATGTGTTACTTTTATTCATGTATTCTCTAATTCTGTTCTTTACTAGAGCTTCAGCCAATATGACCAATGTGGACATTAGACTTAGTGATCTGTGGTTTCTTGAATCGCCACTGGATTTATTTTTAAAAGCTGATTTCTTATTAGTTACCTTCCAGTCCTTTGATAATCGCACCAATTTTCAGCAAAAGGTTACGTGCTAAGGGTATTAGCTCAGATGATTCATATTCAACATTCTGTAAAAATCTTGTATGAGTATCATCTGCGCCCAGTGATACGTTGTTATTCATTTTGTCTGGTTTGTAATCTACTCTTAACAACCTTAAATTAAGACAAGCCTTCTGTGAATGCCTTATAAACAAGATGCTGGTTTCAGAGTTTCTCCGAGATTCTCCAGGTGAATAGGTTTTAAAAAAAAAAAAAAGTTTGGAATTTTTTGTGATGGCATTATCTTTTCTGAGTGCTTCTTTCGTACCTGTATAGCTCACTGGCTCTTGCCAGCGTCTTGCTCTTGATGTGTTCAAGAAGGATTTATTACTTTTTTTTTTTCTATTTCTTTAGCAAACTGCTTCTAAACTCTTTCTTCAGTCTATGTTATTGTGCTTTTACATTTAGTCTGGCAGAATTTATGTTCTTTTTAGTTTTCCTTTTTCAGACACAACTTCAGCTTTTTGCAGGATACCTTTTAACTTCCAACAGCCTCCCTGATCCTGCTGTTTTATGATGCTAGCTTTTTGTTTTTCTCTCAAGTCTTTTTTGACAGGTTATATGCATTTGCTTTGAGCCTCCAATATAGAATCCTAAAATAGTCTACCTGCCATCTGAAAACATTTACCTTTCTGGCTGCCACTCTGAGCGTTTTTTTTTTTTAACAAATTTCCTCATTTTTGAATTC